GGAAAGAGAGACGGAGCGTGCCAGAGGTCGTGCGGGAGTGTCGGCAGAGGGGCGCTCGGGGTGACGTCAACCCCGCCCCCTGCCATTCTGAGGTCCTCTTCTACCCCGTCTTTTCCAAACCCTCGCCTCCAGAGCCACGCTGCACCTCACGGGGCCCACTCACGTCGTGCCACAACGGCCACTGGTGGCGCCACCCCCAAGACCAAGGAGGAACGCGACAGAGCCACAATATACAAAATGATGATAAGAGGCAAAGAGCCGCATTAATTTTGGCCGGGAGCCGCATGCGGCTCGAGAGCCGCGTGTTCGCCACCCCTGCTCTACAGGATCTGGATTTGCGAGCGCTGTCTGTCCAGCACAGCATCATAATTAAGAGGTCCTACCTTTTCCTTGATGTTTGCTTGCGAACTGATTCCTGCCATTTCAGGATCAACGTGAATCACAGCTGAAAGACAAAGTAAACAAATAAATATGCACTATTAAACAAACCAACCCATGCATTACGTTAGCAAGAAAATGGCTCTGACAGACAGTTCCTTTACTTTTTTTCTATTTCTATAAATAATCCTGCCTGTCAAATATGAGGATGTATTTAAGTTTGGTCGGTGTTAAAAGTTTTAAATTCAAATGGCAAATGCAGTTCAGCACTAGCATGAAATGGGATCGCCGGAGGGTTTTTTTTAAACAGTCCATACTGCTGAGTCTTAAACGGCAGATATTAACAGGGATAAGGCCACAATAAGTGCTGCTAAATTTCTGCAAATGTCTGTCATTCAAATTTCTGCATAACAAAGCGCTGCTAAACGCACAGGCTGAGTTAATTTCTTCCCGATCTGCTGGCAACCCCAACAAGAAAACACATTTCAGGATACTGTGGTGCCCGTTCAGGAACTGCACCACTATGACTATACCACCAGCAAGCATCCCCACAACAACAACAACCCTGTGAGGCAGGTTAGGCTGAGGATATGTGACCGGCCTAAGATCACCCAGCAAGCTCCCATAGCAAAGAGGGGGCAAAGAGGGGCTTTGAACTTAAGTCCCCCAGATCCTAGTGCTACACCCGAACCACTACACCGCTTTGGGTCCCAGTGGGGTCATCTTCCCATACATATCCAAGGTCATCTTCTTTTCATGTGAATGCAGTAAAGAAAAGCTTGCCTGAGGTAGAACAAAAGAAGTGTTCCACCTCAGCACTTGAACAAACTTACTCCCAACAACACTCTCTTGGCAGTGATTTGTTTATTGAGAGTTAAAGATGTTTCAAGCTAAGACGATCTGTGTCAGAACTGACTCTCTTGGCACCAGTTCTGGTATTATACATTGTTCAAACAGTCCCCCCCCCGATGACCAGACCAATCACACCAACACATTCAGCCTGCCTAAATCCACTGTGCACCATTAACCCTCCCCCAGCACCTGCAAGCTTAGTATCTAGCAGTGTCTGGTGTCCAAGGTCAAACACGCATTCTTCCCAGAGATGGGAGGCCCCGCATAAACGCAGTTACAAGCTAGCACGTTTTCCAGCAAAGCAGCTTCACACACACCCACACACATGCTTCCAGGCTCCCCCTCTCAACTAAAAGAAAACAGGATACGAGGCATACAGAATCCATAAGAAGCAAACAGAATCATGGCAAACGAGGTCTGAGTTTGACAAGAAGGCAATTACCTAGGCTCAGTCTGGGCTGAGGCACAAAGGTCATGTAAAGATCATATAATATGAGTAGATCTGTTAAAATCTTACGTACTGTCTGGGTGGAAAAGTGGATGATTAGGCTAAAGATAGGGGGAGGGAGGTAACAGAAACTCCAGAGAGAAATTCCTCACAATTTTGTCTACTGTGGCAGCTGGAAGCCTGGGGTGGAAGGCACTTGTTGGGCTGCCAAGCCCAGTTTGGAAAACTCCTGGAGATTTCTTGTTGTTACTATTATTTATTTAAGAACACAAGGACATAAGAGAAGCCAATGGCCCATCCAGTCCAACACTCTGTCGCACAGTGGCCAAAAAAACCAGGTGCCATCAGGAGGTCCACCAATGGGGCCAGGACACTAGAAGCCCTCCCACAGTTGACCCCCCCACAAGCACCAAGGATACAGAGCATCACTTGCCCCAGACTGAGAGTTCCTGATTTATTAATCACCCTATCCCAGCTTACGCCGGGCTCTGGGCGATGCACAGGACGTAATGTCATAGAATACAAAGCATTAAAATTCATAAGCAACTTAATAAAAATTTCAGTGTAGATAAAAGATCCAAGATGGCGATTTCCCTATAATATTATTTATCCCAATTCCGGACTACCAGCCCCTTTTTCTGGGTGGGGGGGAGAGGGAACTCAGAACATAAAGTGGGTGGGGGGAGGAAGAAGATTTGGGGGGCGGTGCCTGAGGAGGATGGAATGTGAGGAGGGAGCTCAGTGGAGATGCGATACCATAGAGTCAGCTCTCCAGAGCCGCCACTTCCTGCACAGGAAATGATCTCTGTATTCTGAAGATCCACTGTAATTCCGGGAGAACTCCAGGCTCCATGGTGCGCTTGGTGACCTTTACGGCTGCCAACCTCCAGGGGGGGCCTGGAGATCTCTCAGAATTACAACTGGCCTCCAAACCACCGAGGATCAGTTCCCGTGGAGAAAATGGTCGCTTTGGAGACTGGGCTGTATGGCATTATGTCCTGCTGAGGTCCCTCCCCTCCCCAAACTCCAAGCACCGCACCCAAATCTCCAGGAATTTCCCAGCCCAGAGTTGGTAACCCTATGACTTGAGGAATGCATTCTGGAGCCAAGGGCCAAAAAATCCTTTCCAGGCCAGCTCCATACAGGCTTGAGTTCCCCTTAGTGTGACTGCGCAGATGACCTCTCGAAGGACGCCCACTTAGAGACGAGTGCCCCGGTCTTTTTCGTACGGTATCATCAATGGGCTGGATCCTAAGGCCCGTGAGGCCCGTTTCGCTCACAGAACAGATCTTTCCAGAGCTTTGCCCCTTCCCAAATGGAAGCCAGCTTGACACCGATGTTTCCTACTGCAGTCAAAAAATTCAAGGTATAAAGAATTCTCCAGGCAGTAAGCTGGCAACCATGTCTGCAGCTTTTGTTTCCAAACAATGTCATAAATTGGGAATCGAGCTTAACAGAACTCACATTTCTGAACAGTTAATTATACAGATACGACTGTCACTAAAAATGCAATCCAGTGCATTTGATAGAGAATCAGACCGTTGAGCCATTCAAGGTCAGTTCTGCCTAATCTGACCGGCAGTGGCTCTCCAGGGTTTCATGGGGGCAGGGTCTCGAAGTAAACCAGAGAAGTTCGGCCGTGACTGTCACTGAACTTCTTACGGAAGGTGCAGAATGATCAAACTCTATACATAGCCTATAAATGCGCTTTAAACTGACGGCACAGAAAAAGCAGACGGCTCTATGGAAGACCTTTAGCTAAAGATTCCTCTGAAAGAGAGGGAGGTCTATCATCCCACTTAATTCAGACTCTTATTACTAAATACGGTTGACACAGGGTACGTACAGAAAGCCTGCAAAGAAAAGCTTTGAAGAGTCTGAAATGTCAGTTTCAGCGCTTCGCCTCTTTCTTCCACGGGATCTCATCCACATTTCCGATTCTGAAATGTCACTTCACGCTCAGCCGTGTAGCTTGTCCACAGAGGGAAAGAAAGCCAGGAAGAAAAACCAGAAAGGGAAGACAGAAGGTTCTCTTATTTAAACGGGGCCTCGCCTTCTGATGCTGGTTTCTAAGCACATGTTTCCCGAGAAAGGAAAATGCTTCCTGTTGATTTCTTATGTAGTGGGGACAAGTCGCCTGTAAGCATTCAGATTCTGTATTCTCATTCATACTTCACACTCCAGCCTTGCAAACATGGAGGTTTCACATAACAGCCAGGCTCTGGCAAAGGCTATAGAAAGCTTTTTTTGTTTGATGAGGATTTTCTCTCCTGTATGGAATGCTTTGTGCGTTCCTTTTTTCACACAGAACTGAAACAGAGCGGCATTCACTGAGGCGGAAACTAGCAAATCCTACATCAGAAAAAGATAAAGATGTACGAGTGTGCTATAATTTAGAGGCTAAAGGTAATGTTAAGAAAGCATATTTACGGTTATCTTTCCAATGTAAACATAGAAATGTTCATTGTCGTGTTTTTTCTCACAGCTTGTGGAAATAACGGATGAGGTAAGACATTTTGAGAAATTAAAGGACAGTCAATAATATAAGCTGGAGAGCAAGGTCCAGCAGCACCTTAGAAACCAACAAGAGTTTATAAACTTTGTTATTTTATTCATTCATTCATTCATTGTTTTTTCTCACAGCTTGTGGAAATAACGGATGAGGTAAGACATTTTGAGAAATTAAAGGACAGTCAATAATATAAGCTGGAGAGCAAGGTCCAGCAGCACCTTAGAAACCAACAAGAGTTTATAAACTTTGTTATTTTATTCATTCATTCATTCATTTAGACTTCTAGACCACCCTTCCTTGTGGGTGGGGCTCAGGGCGGTTTACAACAAGGTAAAAACAATAGCTAATTTAGACCAAGTTAAAACCATAATAAAATACCATTCTCTCTCTCTCAAATTATATATATACAAGGGGCGGGACCCGCGATACTCGCGGGAGGGGGGGAGGGAGCTCCAGGAGGAAGCAGGAGGAGGAGGTAAGTTCCCCCCCCCCCCCCCGCCCCCCCCCCCCCCCCCCCCCCCCCCCCCCCCCCCCCCCCCCCCCCCC